GGGATGCAAAGATCATCAGCTGCAGCAGCCCCTGGGATCTCTGGTGTCAATCAGGACCCCACTGTGCTATCAGGGCCCTTACATGGGGCTGAGCATCTCCCCTATTTCGTGTATTTACCCTTGCCCAGCGCTGTGAAGCAGGCACACACCACAGTACCCTCTGGATGGAGCATCGGGGGCGGAAGTCGCCCTGGCTTTCCGGGAAAGACACGCTGGGCTCATGGCCCCGGCCCAAGAGACCCTGGCCAAAGATCAAGGCCAGCAGAAGGGTGGGTGTGACCCCCAAGGACAGGCCTGTGCCAGTCGCCCTGGAGCGGGGCGGCGAGTGGACAGAGGGAAGCCAGCTCATGTGGGGCCTGTGACCCCCAAGGACAGGCCTGTGCCAGTCGCCCTGGAGCGGGGCGGCGAGTGGACAGAGGGAAGCCAATTCATGTGGGGCCTCGCCACGGCCGGCCTGAGTCAAGGGGAGCACCCATGTCCCCGGGGCGGGTTCCCACGCAGAGGACCCGAACTTCCCTAGGTCACGAGCGGAGTGACCCTGCTCAGTTCGCTCTCGGAGGGGGGAGAACTGTGACGTAGTGGGGGTACCTTGCGGGTTGCTGTGCTGGGCAGTGGGCTCTGGGTGACCCCCACTGGCTGCTGGCTGCAGCAGGACAGGGGATGAGTCATTATGCAAGGGGGCTCCAAATCTGTCCGACCAGTTATCTCCCAGGGAGTGGAACAATAGGAAGAAGGCGGAGTGAGAAGTGAGAACTTTTTTCTGGGTGTCTGGCTGGTGAGTCTTGCCCACATGCTCAGGGTTCAGCTGATCACCAGATTTGGGGTCGGGAAGCAATTTTCCTCCAGGGTAGATTGGCAGAGGCCCTGGAGGTTTTTTGCCTTCCTCTGTAGCATGGGGAACGGGTCACTAGTGGGAGGGCTGGGCTGAGCGCCCTGAGGTTTCAGGATCAGTGACAGGCGCTGACACGCGGCTCCATGTGCTGACAAACCGGGTACCCCCATAAACACCAGACCCCACGTGCACAGACACCGGCCCCTTGTGTTA